AAACAGAAATTATGTTTACTGAGACCACAAATATCACCAACCTGAGGTGGAAGAATGGCACCGGCTATCACTCTAAATTAGAAGATACAATCTTCTTGGTACAATTTCTGATAAAGTAAGAGGTCAAATAGAAACAATTAAGCTCATTTGGGAAGAATTCAAATGGGAAAATAATAGCTTTAAAAAAATGCAGTGAAGGGTGGCCATAGTTGTGTAAACAACGAGTCGATAATTAGAAAAATGTGAAGACCAAGTTAATGCGTGAATACCAAGCAAACAGGATTCATGAAATAATTCTGTTATTATATTCTCCATTAATTATCCCTTTACTATATAGCATTATCAATGCTACAGTTACAGAAGGCTTTGGAGAGAGTTCAGAGTAGGAAAATAAGTGTAATTGGGATATGACTGGGAATGATGATCTTGAAAGGTGGACCTCCCCTTCTAGCTACCAAAGCTGCAGCCACACCACATTATATGCCTGATTAGTGGATCTCTATGTTGAACATGCCCCAAGATATCAAATCTCTGCCTTTTGTTAATTTTACTTCTTCTGCTTGAAATGGTGCTACTTTGTCAAGCAGATGAAATGAAAATTATCCTTCAGTACTGAATTCAGTTGCCACCCTTTCTATCTCAAATTTGTTTTCCCATCTTCAGTGTTAATGGCTTGTCTGTGTTTCTTTAACACCTATCTCACATATGTCCCTTACAGCACTTATCTTATATATGTCTCATAATTTGTATTTCTGCTGCTAGAGGGTGCTGCTAGAGAGTTAGTAAAAAATCGCATTTATTTAAAATGTCAGACAGGGATACACTCACTGAGTTCTCTCAATAACTCTAGGAGGTATGTAACCCCCTTTTCATTGATGAGGCATGTAAAATTAAGTAACTTGCCCAAGGTTATACATACAGTAAACTATTGTTGAATTGAATGATGACTAAGTAAAAAATGCTTACTGAAAATGACTAAAAAATATTTTTCCCTTCTGGACAAAACTGACTATCTCAACATGTCTTTTTTTCACAAAGGAGAAAACGAAATGACTTACTTCTTCACCTCATGATCTTGAACATATATGTAAGTTAAATGTTATTTTATTTTCTACTCAAAATCCCATAAATTAATACATGCACTACAATAATCAATTTTAATATTGTGTCAAGAATCCACTATTTTCCAATCACAAAGAGAAAACAATAGGAACTGTTTCTGCCTCCAAGCCAAACGAAAACCTGTCTTTCTGAGGATGGAGTTGTCTCTCATGGCACCAGAAAGGGAGTTAGGGGTGGGAGAGGTATGATTGTGAATGCCCCATGTGAAGAATTCCAAACCCCAAACCACCTGTGGCTTCTTTGTAGCCTTCTTCTATAATCACTCATAGGGAAACCATTCTCTTTGCTTTCCTCCAGGGCTTTTTAAATTCCCAGTCCTTGTATTAACTGCCTGATCTGGCGAGAGGAAAACTGGCTTTAAATTCCTTTTACTCAAAAGGGCTTCAGCAACTAATGGACATCCTCCCTTTGGCAAAAGGAGATTATATAAAAACCCCTTCTCTATTTTAAAAACCAGATCTTATTTACAGAATTCTTTTATAAAGTTGAAGCCACGTGGTTTTAATTCATTTTAGAACCTGTTATATTGCAGTATCAGGCAAAAAAGAACTAGCCTCCCAAATATTTTCTCCATTGCGCCAGTTTTCAATATCCCTTTAACTTATTTGAATGTTTTGACTGATGGCACAAAACAATCCTGTCATTTACAAATGACATCTTCATTTTGACCACTATATAGACTGATTTTGAACTTGTGCCTCAAAATTAATCAATTATATCATTTCAATATAATGTAAAATATGTTTCTGAGGGCATAGAGAAATCACAGAATACTAGCTTTCCTGAAAACAACAATAAAAGTCAGCAACAAAGTAGACCCTGCAATTTCCACTCAAAACATTTGTAAGAGAATATTATCAAACATGAAAGTGATATATTTTGTATAGAAAATCAAGCTCACAAGACTTTGGAATTATAATCAACCCACAATTCTGATAAACATCTACCTTGATTAATGTGTTTAGATAGAATTTGAAACATTACCTTATATCATCTTCTTTCTTTTCTTTAGTATGAAACTGATATAAGCTGGGCCTTTTCTGTTTGTTTTAATAACAATACTGTCTATAATACTGGTGAAATAAAGAATGGAACAAGGTAAATTTAATGGGGAATACATATAAGTCTGCAACTGCATCAACATCTGTTGCAACACAACTCACTATTACATGGCTGAAAAGGAATGTGTCTATAATTGTAAACATTTTTAATTGTATTTGCAACAGAAGTAAACTTTTCAGCTGATAGATTAGGAAGTTTTGTTGTGTATCTCCAGTAAAGGCCAATAAAAAGGTTGAGGGAGTGATATATTTTAATGGTAAGAGATATGTATCCTGTTTGCTTGAGCACCATGGGAGCGGGCATCTTAGTGCCTTCCTTTACCCAGGCATGCTCACACTAACTTGCAGGAAGGTATATGAATGGAAAAAAAAGACACCTCCATGTCTCTTGAAGGAACTGAAATCTCTCTCTTGTGTAAGTGGACAGTCAAGACATGGGGGGCAACTTTAACACCCATGTTTTGTTGTTATTTTGTGTATAGTATTATCAACACGGGAATTTAGGATTCCAAAATATAAACAACATGATAATTAAGCTAAATCAAGTGTTCATAAACTGGTTTCTCTCTGTCCTCAAGATCAATTGCTGATTTTTTACTGATTGCTGATGATATTTCAACCTCTAAGCAAATCTCTCTATCAATATGATCACTGTAATTATGTCTATTGTAATTTTTTTGAGTTGGACACATAATGTTACCAGAATAACTTTTGATATCACCTTTTTTGTTGTATATTGGATAATGATTTTAGTGCCAACAAGGGAACTTTATTGCTAGATTCAACCCAGTGTTGAACATTAAACTTTGTCTCAGATCTAACCAACTACGGTATAAAGTAAAAATGAGGTCAAACTGAGTTCTCACTAAATCACAGCTTGAGCTGTCTTTATATGAGCAAAACTGAATATGTATATCACTGAGTTGTATATATTGCTGAGACATTTCAGTAATTTTTCCTTATTTATATTTATATATTCTTTACAGATGTACTATAGCAATAAAAAAATCCTATTCCATTATTCCTGAAGTTATTTTTCAAGTATAAAAAAACCTCAACGAAATAAAAACAATGAAAAACAGTAACAACTCTGCTGGTTTTGTCATAACATTATTGTAAACCACTCTTCTAACAAGCTAAATATTTAGAACCCAACATTTCTATTCTGCCCCAAATTAAAACATGATATTTATATGAAAATTCTGAACCAGTCAACAAAAACAGGTGTAAAAGTTTCTAAATATTACTGGCTTGTAAGAATAAATAGAAAGATAATTATGATAAGCTATTGATAAGATATCAAATAATGCTTTTATAGATCATATAATTTGTCAGTTTATCAGCTTTATACTCTTTATCATTAATGCATTTCTAGTTCTAGAATACAGTAAACAATAAAAAACAAAATCATAATAAAACTAGTCTTCCTAGTTTGTACTTGCTTTCCAGGTTAAAAAATTATTAATTGTTAAAAACTATAAAATTTATTCCAAGAAAAGTAACAGGCCACACAGGTAAGTTTTGGTAAATGCAACTTTATATTGAAATTCACACATCTGTATCTTAAAGAATGAAGCTCAGACTCCAATATATTTCTAAACTACCAGAAATCATATTATGAGCTTTCACAAGTTAAATCTGAAATAATTTGAATGACCAATACACTGCATGTGCAGTGAGTACAAACAAGACTGTGTCTTCTGTAGAATAAACACTTCACACATTGTGCAAGATGTCATACTAAGGCTGTGGTCTCCCCTACGTACATCGACTGCCCACTTCTTAGAACACACGAGAATGGGTAGTACATCTCAGAATAAAATCTTATTATCTCAGTGATGTACACTTTAGTTTTGAAACCATGTGGGGAACAAAGAAAAAGAGAATTAATGATCTTCCATGTACTTCCAGACGCGTGACCATGACTAGTTACTGATTTGATCTCCCTTGATTATTTGCTCCAATGCTAAATAAGATGAAATATACCAGATAACTCTTTAAGGCAACATGTGTTTATTCTGAATTCTTAGAACCTCTCATTGTGATCGGTTGTTACTATTAATGTTGCCTACCAGACCAATATGAGCATTTGCAAAATAAAAATGAATTGAAAAAATTTTATACCAAATCAAGAAACACCATATAATACAGTTCAATGCTAGCAATTTAACTAGCAGATAAGGAAAGTAATATTTAGAAATAGTAAGGTATTAATTACAAAAGTAAACTCTAATTGAACCAATATACTGCTTTGGAATGTTCCTCCAAATTTACAAGGTGATTTTTAAAAAGTGTGATAATCCAATAATTCATGGTATACCTTTAGTGGATTACAGTACTTTAAGTCCTCAATATTTTAATCTTTGTGAAACAATAATAGTATGAAATGTTTTAAAGTCTTCAAACTTCTAGAATTAGTTTTTATCAACATATTTACCTCACGTCAACTTGATTTATTAAGACGTCCAATACTAATTGTTATTTTGATATTTTTTTGTAAGTAGTGACATACACAGCATTTGGCACTGATACTTAGCACCTGCTAATTATATTATCTAGTTTTCAACCACATAAAGAAACTTATGGCAGTGGTTCAGTCCTTTCTTAATTGCAAACCTTCATGGGCAGTCAGCAGGATCCCTCTGAGTTTTAAAATAAGATTATAGGTGAATAATTACAAAGACTGCAGAATGTGGCCCAAATTATTATAACCACTAATCCCATTCTTGACTTTCTTCTCAAGATATGCTTACAGGCCATGATTGCTTAACAGAGAAGGTCAGTGTTTCACAAGGATAAAGATTTACAGATGCTCCTTCATATAACACAGTAAGGTTCCCTTGGTAACCTGGATTTTCTGCAGTAAAGAAGGGTTGTGCTGAAACAGCGCCTCAGCTCCCTGTTGGAGAAAATGCAGACAAAAGGATTGATTCCTGCTTGGGCAAAACTCATCCAGACAGCAGCTGTTAGAAATCCCCCTGGTACTACAGGCCCTCCTGCAAAAACTCTCCAATAGCAGGTTACCAGGTAAGGGCCCCACAAGGTTAGGAAGAGAAAAGTCATTATATAGAACATTCTGCTAATTCTTTTTTCCATTTTGAATTCATCTAAGACCAATAACCTTCTTCTGCTCAAGGTGTTTGCATTTTGCCTGATGCCCAACAAGGTAGGTGGTGTGGGACCCCTTCCAAATCCTGCCAGCCAATTGGCAGCTGCCTGGCCACTGGCTCCGGGGCCATGAAAAGTCCAGTTCTGGCTGACCGCTGCTACAAACTGGACTGGCTTCATTTTCCTTCGATCGTGAACAAAAAATATCAGCTTGAGGTAGACAAGCTGTGTGGCTAGAAGGATGAGAGCAAGGAGCAGCATAAATCCTAAGGAATCATTGGCCCTGAAGGAGCGGTGTTGGAAGGTGCACTGATCTTCTTCCCTAATGAATGAGTAAGTGCCCACATCTAAAACTGGGGGAAAGGCCATGGCCACAGACAAAGTCCACACCATGCAGATCACAGCCAGACATGTCCAAAACGTCAGCCTCTTTGTATAGAAACGGTGATGGGCGATAGCTAAGTATCTGGTGACACTGATGCAGAAGAGCATGAAAGCAGTGTGGAAACAGGACAAAACCCCCAGAAAGGCAATCACTTTACAAGTCAAAGTCCCATAAGTCCAGGTAGAGCCATTTTTAACAGAGTTGAATACAAATGGAAAACAAATTGCAGATCTGAGGATATCAGAACAGCAAAGGTCCAACAGGAAGTAGTATGGTGTTCTATGCAAAGTCTTATCTTTCACTAGCAAAATGGAGATCAGAAGGTTGCCCACCACGCTGACTCCTATTATGAAACCCAAGGAAGTCAGTTTCAGAAAGGCTGTTAGAGGAGAGAGATTTTGCAAAATGTTGTCAGCTGCATGGCTATAGTTCGCCATAGATGGATGGAAGATCAAGATTACAGCCTTAGTCAAGTCTCATGATCTAGATAGAACAAGGAAAAGATAGAGCCATACATTTTTTACTGAAAATGTAATCCACAAAGAGAACTGATCCAATCTGTTGCTGTGTTTCCTCTTTTCTTCCATTTGATTTGCCTCAGAATACCTGAAAAAAAAAACAACAACAAACAAACCAAGCTATCAGTTCTTAAATTAATAAGCAATGATGTCAGGCAGTGCTGACATAAAGCTGTTGATTTATGGACAAGCAAATAAAGTTTCAATTTTGAATAATATTATTTGCTTTAGTATTTTTGTTTGAGATTCCAGAGAATTAACTTGCTTAATTTTTTGAGCTAGGTAAATTGAAAAATGTTCCTATTTTGGAGAACATTCATTTTATTATGTACCTTTAGGACAAAAGGAATAATGTTCCACAATCATAAAATATGCCAGTCTGGGAATTAGTCACTGATGTTGCAAAGGAATCTACAAGGTTGATAATAAGAGACAGAGAGGAGACTACCTACATTTTATTTGTGGTCTATTAGTATTTGTCAGTATTTTATAGGCAGTGTCTCTGCTGATACGGATCCAAAGAACCCTTGCAAAATATTTGTCTTTTAACTCGTGCCACTATTCATGCTGCATATTATAAGAGCATTTGTTGATTCTTTAAAGCATAATTTCAACACTATACTTCTAAATAATAGGAACTTGTTCCAGAATTTGATGTGAAAAAATCTTTTGTCTCCCCACCCCCACCCGACCCCATTTTTGGCAAGTCTTTTCTCTTTTAAGCACACATGATTATTAAAAATTGTTAATGTAAAGATTGGACAGGAAAAGACAGCCAGAGAAATAATGCACTTTCATTTTTAAATTTTGGATGCTTGGATTCAAATAAATTTGACACGAGCCTGTGTTTCTTGGGCAATTAAACCTTTCCATTTACAGTGATAATCTTTGTTGCAAATCGAAAGTGGCTTCATTTTTAAAGAAAATGTACATTTTCTCCTAGATGCCTGGGGTCCACACGAGGGAAATCAGCTTCCTCTGTTGTAGCCATTAAACATGTTTTCTTTGCCACTTTTCCCTTGCCCGGAATATACTGATGGTAGCCCAGGCAAAACTGCGTTAGGTGATTTTAATTTCCCCACTGGCACATCCCCGGGTAACTACTGATCTCATCATGCAACATTATGAAACCTGAAATCCGCCACCCCTGGATTTATAATGGGGGGTGGAGGAGGAGGAGGAGGGGAGAGAGACATGCATTACATACGCGAAGATGGGGAGAGAAGATTGCTTCTGTGCTGCAAGGGAACTGTTTCCAGCGATTCCCAGTCTGATATTCCTCAGTCTTGAAAAGATTTCCAGAAATGGAGCTTTGAATAAGCCCTGCTGAAGATGCATTGTCTGATGTACTTTCATTATGCAGTTTATTGTTTAAACACACACACACACACACACCCCAAAACACCACCTGTGTGGGGATGGCGGCGGGGGTGGGGGCGGAGCTCTTTCTCCGCGAACCTGCAGTTTCATCAACATTGTGAGCAACCCCCCATTCCCAAACTTAACCGAGAGTATGTCCTCCTACCTGTTGGTATTGGATATCCCGACAGACTATAGCTTCTTTCTATAAATTGCTGATATTTTTTCTTTTTCTTTTCTTTCTTTCTGTGTTGTGTGTGTGTGTGTGTGTGTGTGTGTGTGTGTGTGTGTGTGTGTGTGTGTGTGTGTGTGTGTGTGTGTGTGTGTGTGTGTGTGTGTTGCCTTAGTGCTTTCACGAGCATCCAGGCACTGCTCGGCGGCGCCTGCGCTCTGGAACCTCCTTCAGTTCCAGTCGCTTCCTCCCCTGTCGCAGCGGCAGGTCTCCCGCAGTAAAGCAGAGACAGCGGTGAGGGCAGAGAGTACGGCAACGGGGCCGTGGTGGAGCTAATCTGAGGCCAAACTCGTTTCCAGGACAGGCGGAACTTACTAAATGTACTTTCCTGTTGAATCGGCCATATTAGGCTTTTGTATTATTGCGGGTGCTTCTGAATTTACCCATGCCAGCGTGGGAAGTGGGGACTGAAAAGATTCGCTCAGGACTTCAGGCCCACACTTCCTTAGCGCAGCTCACGAAAAGGCCACCTTTCCGGGAGCGCCCGAACCCTCGTCTTCCCAGAACATTTTCTTCCTTTCTTTTTAAGTGTGGTCAGAAGCATTGGAATCTTCTCTAAGGTTTCTTTTTAAATGATTTCCCCAGCTGAACTTTAAATGTGCAGGTTAGTTGTGCGTGTGGAGGGGTTGGGGATTGAGAGGGGAGGGATGGAGGGAGGGTAGAGAGACATTTTTAAGGGACAGTTAAGACAAATCTGTCAATGGGAAAGAAAGGAGCTCTGTCTTTGTTAGTCATTTATTCTCAAATGCACTCAAATTTTAGTGCATTAAGTAGGAGAAGCTAAATTCAGGCAACTGCAAAATGATTTAGATCCGTTCTGTCTTAACAAATGTGACTTTAAACTCTGCAATTGTAAATGACTATCCCTCGTATTTCAACTCACTCCGCAATAGCTTTTCGTTTTCCTTCTTGCAACTAAGACTTACCAATAGATTGGTAATGCCAAAGCAGTTGTGTGTGCGTTGTCCCCTTTTTCCCCTTTTGTTATTACGGAAGAATAATACTAGGAATACAAGGAATTCATAAAACTTACTCCCGTCCTGAAATGGCCGGGCAGTTCAGTTGGTTGGAGCTTGTACTGATGAGTCAGGATTGCGGGGATTGATCCTTGGTACTGGAGCATACAGGAATCAACCAATGAATGGATGGATGGAGCGACAAATTCTCTCTCTCTCTCTCCTTCCCTCCCTCCCTCCCTCCCTCGCTCCCTCGCTCCCTCCCCCACCCCACGTCAGAAAAAAAAAAGGCTGACACCCGTCCAAATGTCTGATGATAACACAACACACCACATAGTCTCACACCTGGGTGCTTACGGATGACTCTGGAATCCTGCATTTCCTTATTTTACCATTTTGAAAGAATTTTGCTTGTAGAGGTAATATAAGATTTTAAACAACTCCCCAGGTCCCAAAACTAGCAGACTTGCTTTCATTAATTCCCAGAGTAAAACCTCTGCTTCTCCTTGCACATGCTTACTGCTTTATAATAATCTGTTAATCAAACAGAAAAAACAAAGATCTTTACAGTAATAACTTGATCTTCAAACAGCAGTAAATACCTCACTGTTGGACGGTGAGACTGTGACACTCAGGGAAACTTCAGCCAATCAGGGTACACATAATATAGATTAATTTCCATATTGTATTTCTGTTGGTTATACCAAGGTAAAGTTTTCTGTTTAAAATTTAAAAATGAATACTTCAATGCCATGATGTCACAGTCATTATATGAAGTTCTATGTTGGTAATACTGAACTGATGTTAAATTTTCCTGTTTTGGAATGTCCTAAATCCATTAAAATATAGACAATGATTTTTTTCTTTCTTACTTTCTTTATTTTTTTTTATTGTTGTTAGAAAAAATAAATAAAGCACCTAACTCTGGCATTCCTTTAATCTAGAAAAATCAATCCTACAGTAGAACTGGAATAACTTCTAGTTAACTTCAAGTTAACTTCAAGTGAAACACTCCTCTTTTCCTCAAAACAAATTCAGAAGAAATCAAAACAATATGGTGGCTTACAATTTCTAAGTGAAAATTCAAATTCATTTTTATGGAATGTCAAATGTTTTCAATTTTTTCTTTTTTTTCTTCCTAATTAGTGCCTCTCAGTGCTCTTGGCAAAAGTTATTTTGTCAGTTTCACAGTTTAAAAAATTCGGTAGAATAAAAAACAAATAAATTTGCTGAATATTTGTGATTGGACAGTTCTTTGGTTGTATGGAATAGGGAAAAATATTGAAAAGTAATTTAAAAGGGTAACTGCCCTGCCAGGCCATGAAGCAACAATTTACTCTGCCAAAAGGTATAGGACCAATATCCAAGGTTTTAAATTTACGTTAAGAAACGGGTATTGATTGATCCTTCAAAATAAGGCAGGGGATGTGAATGCAATAGTCATTTATTTCCACATCTCAGGGTATATTAAGGCTATACTTTTTCTTTGCAAATGAGTACAGTTATATCTACTAGTTCTTGAGTTTTTTCAACTGTTAAATGATAATGTCCTTTTCTTGCTTCAAAGGGGGGCTCAAGAAATTAATGAGATAGTTTCCATTTAGTTCATTAACTGTACTGGAGCAGGGGTGTCTGACCTGCGGCTCACAGGGCTGTATGCGGCCCAGGGTGATTATGAATCAGTCCAAAACAAAACTGTGAATTTATTTAAAACTATTTTTTTTGTTCATCAGTTTTTGTTACTGTTTGTGTATTTAATTTGTGACCCAAGACAGCTCTTCTTCTTCTAGTGTGGCCCAGAGATGACAAAAGGTTGGACACTCTATAAAGCCTGCATCTTCCACCAACAAGGGTTTTAAAAAATATATAATAGCTGACAAAAATTTCATATAATCTACAAGTTCTCAAATGTAAAGTTATTGCTTCAAAGTATTCAAATCATAACTTTGTTTGATCTTAGCTAATTTCTTTTTGACTCCTTATATTTTAGAAAAATTATATTAAGAATAGAAGAACTAAGCCAACAGTAGCAAAATACTATATTCACCCTGGGTTGTTAGGATACCAAAGGTTTTCAAGTTCTTGTCATTTTACATTTACTATATTGATTAGTACATTAGGAAGTCTAACGTAATTGGCTTAATTTGGTTTTTATAATAAATATATACAATCTGACTTAAAACATCAATTTTCTTCTTTTCAAAATTAATAGGACATTTCAGATTTTTCCCACATGATGCACAGTGTCGTGATGGTCAAATGAAGTATTTTAGTTCTATGCATTGTTTATGTGAAAATGTGTGTTAACATGTAAAGAATTCTTGGCAAATACAGAGATTAATAGGCTAGGATAAAACGTTCTAAGAAAAGACTTTTTAATCATTTATTTAAAGTGCTATTTCTCCAACTTAAAGCTTGTCATTAAATCTTTAAGAACATGTGTCTTTGGTATTCTCAATTCTTAACCAAAATCTAAACCTATATATGAAAAAAAGACTTCTATAAATTTTCTGGAAGCTACTTTGGTAAGAAAGGCTCCCATCGGGAACTTTTTCAGAGAAACATTTTTTTTCTTGAATTTATTGGAGTGACATGGGTTAATAAAATTGTGTAAGTTTCAACTGTACAGTTCTATAATACATCATTTGTATATTGTATTGTTTGTTCACAACCTAAAGTCAAGTCTCCTTGCTTCTCCATATACCATTCCCACCTTTAACCTCTTCTACCTCTACCACAACCCCACTTTTTCCTCTGGTAATCATACAGTTGTCTATGTCTATGAGGGTTTTTTTCCTTTGCTTAATTACTTCACCTTTTCACCCAGCCCTTCAACCACCTTCTTTCTGACAGCTGTCATTCTGTTCTCTATATCTATGAGCTTGTTTCTATTTTGTTTGTTAGTTTATTTTATGCATTCCATTCCATATATAAGTGAAATCATATGGCACTTGACTTTCTCTCACTGGCTTATTTTACTTAGTAGAATACTCCCCAGGTCCATCCATGCTGTTGCAAAAGGTAAGATTTCCTTTTTTTTTTTAAAGCCAAGGAGTATTTTATTGTGTAAATGTACCACAGTATTTTTAGCCACTCATTTACTGATGGACACTTGGGCTGCTTCCAGATCTTAGCTGTTGTAAATAGTGCTGCAATGGACATAGGTATGCGCATATTTCTTTGAATCAGTGTCTTGGGTCATTTCAGATATATTCCCAAAAGTGAAATCTGAGTCATTAAGACAGTTTTATTTTTAATTTTTTGAGAAAAAAACTCCATATCATTTTCCACTTTGGCTGTACCAATGATCATTTCCAACAACAGTGCATGAGGGTTCCTTTTCTACCACATCTTTGCCAACACTTGTTTGTTTATTTATTGATGACAGTAATTTTTGATGGGTATGAGATGAAAGCTCAGTTTTATTTGTGTCAAGTTATTACTGATTAGTGATGTTAGTCATTTTTTCATATGTCTATTGACCATCTATCTGTGTGTCCACTTTGGAGAAGTGCTATTCAGCAAACCTTTCACAATTTTTAAACTGAACTGGTTTGTGTGTGTGTGTGTGTGTGTGTGTGTGTGTGTGTGTGTTGCATTTATATATTCTTTATAAATTTTGAATAATAACCCATTATCAGATGTATCATTGCAAATATATTCTCCCATTCAGTGGGTTGTCTTTTTATTTTGTCAGTGATTTCCTTTGCTG